TCTGACATGCACTCCCTGCCTGGAGAGATCATCTTGCAATGCAATGAAGGATCTTCTGCCATGTTTTATGGCACCCTTGGCTACATGGGATTCCTGGTTGCCATCTGCTTCACAGTGGCTGTCCTGGCCAGGAACCTCCCTGGGGCCTTCAACGAAGCCAAGCTGATCACTTTCAGCATGCTGATCTTCTGCAGTGTTTGAATCTCCTTTGTCCCCACCTAGGGCACCAAGGACAAGTACGTAGTGGCTATGCAGATCTTCTCCAATAGAGGCGAATATGTGTAGCTCAGGGCTGAACTATTTGTAAACCTTTGGACAGGGTCAATGCAAGAGACAAATCACATTGAAAATACTGGCTTGGAATGACTCATAAAACTGCCAAGGAAAGTAAAAAATATTTGCACCTGAAATCATTTTTAATCTTTCTAAAACCCATACTCATAATAAGGCTGTTTTATATGATTGGTCTTCTAATGTGGGTGTTTACTTTTCATTTACTTTTCTTTTAGAACAATTTTCCCCCTTTTGGAGCAAAACAGGATAATTTATTGGGAAAGTATTATGAAGTCAATAGGCTTTCTTCAGAGTAAAACTGCAATGGAAGAATCTGGTTTAAGAAAAACTCCAGTAAAGAGCAAACCTCTTGCTATTTCATTTCAATTTTTAATATTGGATTGCACTTTCAGAACATGTCATTTCTCAGTAAATGATTACTTAAAATCAACATAACTCTCTAACCAGATTTGTTAAAAATAACAGAAACATAATAGATTACATTTGAGTAAAATATTATTAATGCTAATGTGAAAGTATGTATTACACTACCCTTTCTCTGCGATCATATCCCTGGTGCATTCCTATGTATAAGCATTTTACTTATGGATGCTCATGAAAACCTTTAAGAGTTAAAAATTCCTTCCTTCCGTCTGTCCTTCCTTCCATCCTTCCTTCTGTCCTTTTGGCTCAAGGCTGGACTGTTGGAGAATGACAAATCATTGGCTCCTACCACACTCCATCCAAATTTCCTTGCCAAGTTTGAAGTTGCCCCCTGACCCCTGTCTCTACAAAAGAAGTTGAATCTTGGATGCTGGCCTTCCCTTCAGGGGATCCAGAATATTAAATTATTATTACTATTGGTTACACAGTCAGCCAGATGTTTAGACTGGGTCTGGCATTTCAATCCACCTATCGAGTCCTTCCCAAGGACCTGAGATAGGCAGTTGTTGTTATTTCATGGTGTTAAAGGTGTCGTCGCAGGATGGAAGCTGCTCCAAGTAAAGATGCCTTTTGCAATTTACTGATGATTTGGTGATTTTATCAATGCCAATAGTCTTCTAGTGGTGCTCCAGATGCTCTCATCATGTTCCAATGACCCATAGTCTCACTTCTCTGTAGCTCGCAGTGAGCTCTTCACATTCCCAGAATGCTCCAGTAGGCAGTTTTACTCAGACTTATCACCTTACTTCCCATGAAAGGATCCACACGGGGAAAACCATATAAATTCTTGCAGCATGAAAAGATTTTGTCACTGCCATCACCTTAGTTCCCATGAAAGCATTCACATGGGAGAAACTATAAAAATGCAAAAGAGGTTGGCAGGACCATCACTATGTTCAATCCCCTTTTCATCAAAAAGGTCCACTAAGGCTGAAATCATAAATCTCTGAGCTTAGTTAGAGCTTTAGGGATTTATGATAAAATATCAAAGGATACATAATGTTAGTCCAAATCTAATAGTATCCATGTTGGAGCAGAAACTAAATTTTCTCATTCACGACAAAACAAAGGGATAACTAGTGAAATTGCTCATTCTATTGGATGAAGGGACTGGGGAAGATAATGCTCCTATGAACAGAAGAAAACTAGGTGTTCTACTATTTCCATTCCAAACAGAAATAAAAATTGCAAAAATTGCCAGAAGTGGAACAATTAAAAACTGCTGATCATTTTCAACATTGTTTTCTCCTTACTGCAATAAGAAGAGCGATGGTAAGGGAGATGGCATAATTCTATCCCCTTTGCTATTTACTTTCTCCACTTATACTATATTCTCTATCTCTCCTATACCAACGTTCACTGTCCTGAGGACAGTCTCCATAACACAGGAGGGCAACAAGATGCCTTTGTCGTAGCCGCATTAGGACACAGATCCTCACGGTTTGCTTCAGGAAGTCCATGTGTGCACACGCAGGGCCAGTGGGCTTAACAAAACATGCAGAGGCTCATTATTAATAATAAGCCAATGATCATTACTAATATCCCTAACGGCTAAGAAGGAAACAAAGGTAGCTTGTGCTGGAACTGAGACGTGCATTAAAAGGGCCATTCTCTTGGAACTTGGACCAATCAACCTATGCAACTGTTGCTGAAATGCATTCTGCGGATACCTTCTGTGGTGGTTGTGCCTCTTGGGGACAAAGATCCTAGACTGGCTTAAACCTCAAAAGCCCAGAAGGGTCTCCCCAACAGTTCCATGTAGATCCTAAAACGTCGGTAAGTGGAGAAATCCCATGAACGTGCATATAATAGATTTCTCTGGACAGATCTCTCTTCCACCATCACTACCTCAGCAAGGAGAACCATTGCAAAACAATGCATTCCCATAGAGATGTAACAGAAGAAGGCCGTGGTCAGTAGTGCTGAAAGCCACTGGGAATTCAAGGAGGGCTGCACACCCCCACTCCTGCTCTCTCCATAAGTTATCCATAAGTGCAACCAATGCCATTGCCATGCTGTATCTGAGCCAGAAACTGATTGCCAAAGAGCCAAATCATCTCCTTCCTCTAAGGCTCTCTGCAGTTGCAGAGCTTCAGCCCTCTCAGGCAAGCCAGGTCAGGAATTGGACACCACAAAGCCCATTGGAGCTCTACAATATTGTGGGGTATAAAGAACAGAATCTTAAAAGCCTGTCAGAGTTTCCTGCTGACCTCTTTTATGGGGTGCAGAATCAAGGCAGGATTATTTTCAGTCTCTTAAGTAAAAAGAATGCTGAATTCTATTTCCTGTCTATTCCTTTGCTGCTCCTGCTCCCTCTACACAGGGACACAACTTTCTCCAGAACCATTGATAAAAATGGAAGGTTGGAGACATTCTAAAGTTGTAGAAAGCAGCTGGATTGAGAAGACTTCCTGATCGGGGAACACAACAGCCTCCTTTCTCCTGGAAAATGCACTCTTTCTCCCTTCTTTCCATGAGCACCTGCATTGCACACAGAATCCACCAGGGGCTCCCTCCCCAAAGAGAAGGGAACTCCATGCACCTCAGCATTGGGCCACTGGAGGGCGACCTCCCACAGGTGGCTTTCCCGAGGAGGGTGGGAAGGGAGTGACATCACTGACTCTTGCTTTTCTAGGATGCTGCACTCTCTCTCTTTAACCCTTTGAGCTGCACAGGAGGCAAAAAGGCTGCAGGAAACCCTTGCAGGGAAGACATCCAGACCTGGCCCTCGGGGAGTGGGGGGCCTCTTCCCGTGCAAAGCGAGGCAGACGGTTCTAGTGCTGGAAAAGGAAGTGCCAAGTCCTCATCCGGGTTCAATCTTCTGAGTCCTGTGAGTGGGAGGGCCCAGATCCCATGTCCCCCTGCTACCCCTTTCCATGCACGTAACAGGCAGGGGGGGAAGCAGAGCTCCAGACCAAGCGTGTTGCCCCCAGGAACAAATCCAGGATCCCCGGGAAGGAAGAGGGGATCTGGGGGACCCCTTCACACCCCATTTCCTGGGGAAAGCCCCTGAGTGGGGGGAGAGGGAGAGTTTGCCTTGCACATCTCAAGCAGGAAAGCAGAAAAGCTCTGCAAGGAAGGAGGTGCCAAAGATTGTGCCTGCATTCTCACTATGTGCTGATGAGGCTAAAATAGGGTTGGATCCTCTGCAGTTCAACATGTCTTAGGCGGGAGAGGGAACCAGGACATCATCTTAAGCTGTGTTTTATGTGAACGTGGCCCCAGTGGTTCGTTGACCTGTTTGGGCTTAGGGCATATTATATGAACCTGCCTGCGTGTCATAGTGTGACTTGAATCTTGAAAAGCAAACCCTGAAAAAAGGGAAATGAAATATCCAAGCCAGGGTCATTTCATTGGCATTTCATTTTATGTGAACTGAACTTTCATGGTTTCTTAACCTCTTTGGGGTTTGGCATGTGGTGTGAACCCTCCTTGTAGGTGAATGTAGAACTAGGTTTTCAAAAGGCAAGGCCTTCCTTGTGAGAAAAAAGAAATAGAAAATGCTCCAAAGTGCATCTATTCAGTGCTCCAAGTCCTCGGTGGAAGTTAATCCCATATTTTGCAGCACGCACACAGACAAACACACAGAGGATCTATCTGCTCAGTGCCACTGCAATTCTCTACCAGCTCAGAAAAATACTTCCTTCCATGGGGATGAGTGTTGTGCAATGGTTAAATCCACCACTTTCTAATTCTTGGAATTTATTTTCTTTTCTATCTCAGATACACAAACTGGAACCCATTTCTAAGACCTCGCATACAGACAAAATTATCTCTTGGGCAAAGAAGGCTGGATGGCCTGCTGTGGTTATTCCTACAGCTACAGGCCTATAAATGAAAAGGCATTTGGAGATCCACAAGATTCCTTGGATCCATTTGGAGTTGCTTTGCAGGACAGAGAAAGAATGGAGACACAAACTTTAGCAAGTGTGAGAACTGGAGAAGGCCCTTCTGCTGGTCAGCCTGGGAGCTGTAGGGAGATCTGTGCAAGAACTGGGCAGAAGATCTTGGAGGGGGAACCCATCGATTCAGAAAGTCAGCCCTGGAACTTCAGGAGCATCCAATACCAGGAGGCTAAGGATCCCCGAGGACTTTGCAGCCGACTCCACTACTTTTATAGTCGATGGTTCAGACCAGAAAAGCACACGAAAGCACAGATGCTGGACCTGGTTATTCTAGAGCAGTTCCTGGCCATTCTGCCCCTAAAGATGAAGAGCTGGGTGCGGGAGTGTGGAGCAGAGACCAGCTCACAGGCGGTGGCCCTGGTGGAAGGTTTCCTCCTGAGCCAGGCGGAGGAGCAGAAGGAGCAGGTTGAGTTGCAGGTGAGAGAACTTCATCTTGGAAGCCCAGAAGGGGTTTGAATGGAATAAACAATGTGTTTGAATTCTTAACCCCTCCCTATCAGAGTTTCCTGGCATTCATAATATGTGGAGATGTTTCACTAATTCTTCTGGATGTTGTTCCGTTATCCATTCTAGAAGATAGATTTGGGATAGCCATTCATTTCTGACTT